ATAACTAGAATAGGGTTTGGGGGCCCGTTATACTATAGCTATAATAAAGAACCCCCACAATAGTGTTGGTACTATGGTGCAGTACCCTGCACCTTCCTGGGTTCTTGTGAAGGAGCCTGCAGCAAATAATAGGGCTTTCGCTTTCACGGCACTAAACTCCTAAACCCTAAACCCGAAACCCTCATGCTCTGGGCGGAAAAGCAGGCCCGAAATCCCAACAAAACCCCCTAAACCCTAAACTCTAAACCCCAAACCCTAAACCCATAACAAAACCTCCTAAACCCTCAACCCTAAACCCTAAACCCTAAACCCATAGCAAAACCCCCTAAACCCTCAACCCTAAACCCTACACCCATAACAAAACCTCCTAAACCCTCAACCCTAAACCCTAATCCCTAAACCCATAGCAAAACCCCCTAAACCCTCAACCCTAAACCCTACACCCGTAGCAAAACCTCCGAAACCCTCAACCCTAAACCCTACCTGTGGCCCTGGGTCCCTGAGCCTGGGAAGCCCCACATCGACCTCAAGGCGAAACACCTCCCGGTTTAGGGTTTAGAGTGTAGGGTTTAGGGTTCAGGGTAGTTTAGGGTTTAGAGTTTAGGGTTTGGGTTTTTTAGGGTTTAGGGCTTAGGGTTTAGAGTTTAGGGTTTTGGGTTTTTTAGGGTTTAGGGTTTAGAGTTTAGGGTTTTGGGTAGTTTAGGGTTTAGAGTTTAGGGTTTAGAGTTAAGGGTTTAGAGTTTAGGGTTTAGGGTTCAGGGTAGTTTAGGGTTTAGAGTTTAGGGTTCGGGGTAGTTGAGGGTTTAGAGTTTAGGGGGTTTAGGGTTTAGGGTTTGGGGTAGTTTAGAGTTTAGGGTTTAGGGTTTAGAGTGGTTTAGGGTTCAGGGTAGTTTAGGGTTTAGAGTTTAGGGTTTGGGTTTTTTAGGGTTTAGGGCTTAGGGTTTAGAGTTTAGGGTTTAGGGTTCAGGGTAGTTTAGGGTTTAGAGTTTAGGGTTTTGGGTAGTTTAGGGTTTAGAGTTTAGGGTTTAGAGTCAAGGGTTTAGAGTTTAGGGTTTAGGGTTCAGGGTAGTTTAGGGTTTAGAGTTTAGGGTTCAGGGTAGTTGAGGGTTTAGAGTTTAGGGTTTAGAGTTTAGGGTTTAGGGTTTGGGGTAGTTTAGAGTTTAGGGTTTAGGGTTTAGGGTTTAGAGTTTAGGGTTTGAAGTTTAGGGTTTAGGGTTCGGGGTAGTTTAGGGTTTAGAGTTTAGGGTTTGGGTTTTTTAGGGTTGAGGGTTTAGAGTTTAGGGTTTTGGGTAGTTTAGGGTTTAGAGTTTAGGGTTTAGAGTTTAGGGTTTAGGGTTTGGGGTAGTTTAGGGTTTAGAGTTTAGGGTTCAGGGTAGTTGAGGGTTTAGAGTTTAGGGTTTAGGGTAGTTTAGGGTTTATAGAGTTTACGGTTTTAGAGTTTAAGGTTTAGGCTAGTTTAGGGTTTAGAGTTTAGGGCTTAGGGTTTAGAGTTTAGGGTTTACGGTTTAGGGAGCCCGAA